AACTTTTGGATGCTCCAGTGTCCAATGTTGCTTCTAATGGTTGTCCGTTGAGTTGGACCTGGACTGTGATGCGAGTTTCGTTTACGTGAATTTGTTTTACGACCTGGCAGGGCTGAGTTCTCGAGAAAACGGTTTCCCTGCTGTTGGACGTTCTCTTGTCGCGTTTCCCGAACTCTCCTGACAGCAGTCAATGGTCCGGATGTTACGATTTCCGCATACCCAACAGAATATAGTTTTAGGATTGCGACAGCCTCTCGCAATATGCCCTTGTCTCCCACATCTCCTACAAGCATAACTAGCATCCAGAATTCTTGACTCGTAAGTTTGAACCATATGATTCCTTTCCTCCCTTGGTCTTTGGTACAACGTTTTCTCTTGCTCGGAGCGTAGGATTTCGTAGTCATCTGCCATCGTAATCAACTCACCTAGAGTTTCGAAATCGCGTCGCCGGATATATAATTGGTAATCTGGATGGGCGTTTCTATATATTCGTTCTAGTTGAACCGATGTTTCCATATTTGCGTGCCGCATCAGTGTTTGGATGGATCCAACGTAGTCTTTAAAGGTTTCTCTTGTTCTCTGACGGCGTGCCCTAATTTCGTCTTCCAATTTCTCGAAGTATCGAGCTGGTAGGAAAAATCGGAGGAAATCAGCTTTGAAAGAATACCCAGACTGCCAATGTTGATTGTTGTTTCGATACCAAGCAAGCGCTTTATCTTTCAGGAGTTCTGGCATCGTACGAGGAATCAAATGTACGTTGATGTCGTACACCTCTGCCAGCTCTTCTATCTGTTCGATAAACGATAGTGCATCCTTTCCTCCATCATACTTAACCGACCATTTACGTACCTGATCAATGGTTTGTGGATAAGAATAGGTTGGTGGATTTAGCGGCAACATATCGGTACCTGGTAACTGAATAGTGGGTGTTGAACGCCCATGTTTACGAGCTAACTCTTTTAGCCTATCAATGGTACTTGTATCATGGTCGTCCTCATCGATAAAACTTGTAATTCTCTTGCGAAGTTCTTCTACAGACCCAGTATTTTCAAGTCCGAATTCTACAGCGTAAGATACTAACTCGTCTTTTCTAGCGTTGTAGACCCACGATTTGCTTAACGTGTTTGTCCTTCGCGTCTCTTGCTCGAGTACCTCTGCCTTCCCTTTTGTCTCAACAGACATGATTTCTTGTTATGATCAGTATATTTTCTTGAATTATAAAATATGCTTTCTTATTACTGCCTTGATTTCTGTGATTGACCAACCAGGTCCCTGCTCGGGCGCCAATTGTAACGACTCACTTTTGTCGTTGATGTTGCTGAGGTATGCTTAGCCGTCGTCTAGGGGTCGTTGCAATAATATTTATTCTTTTCCGAAATCAAAGACAATATTTAATACATATAATTTGTGATTTATTAATAAATCAAAAAAAAAAGAAAGTTTACAATGTTACAATATATATTTTTAATTTTTGGGATTTGACTAAATGGATCCGGCGTTGTATCGTACTTCTGGACAGATGCCGCTTTACTTGAAATTTAAACTGGCATTACAGAGCATCAATCTATTGGTCAAGACGTATAACTACCTTGAATTTTATACAAAACTACGTATCAAGACGTATAACTGCCTTGACTTTTATACAAATCTACGAGTTCCTTGTTGTCGCAAAGACGTATGACTGCCTTTGAGAGTTTCCCAACAAGTGATTTTCCCTCTGATGCATACGCTTATTTATACTAACTTGACCGAAGCTTTTCCTGTAGCGCACACATTGCTTCAGCTGTTATTTGTTTTGATTGCCGTTTGTTTAGAATTCGCCCTGCTTCTTTACTCAATATCATGCATGTATTAGTTGATTTCTTGCTTTCTTTTCTCACCTTCGGCTACCGGTTTTAATTCGCTGTGAGAATTATGTTTTTGACATTTGTATACATTGTCTTTATATTCTTGCAAAACACGTTGTAATTAATTCGGATAAGTTTACATTTTAATGTGACTTTAATAATATTATTTAAATAAACCAAAAAAAGAAATTAATTTTTATAATAATAATATTCGTATCACTTAATTTGTGTAATGCCATCTTTTACATCAACAACTGTTGGCGCCGGTGCGCGGCTAGTCTTATAACAACAAAATGAAAATAAAAAAATAAAACGTTGTGAGTTCATTTTGTTACGTGAATTTTATTCAGTTTATAAAATAATTTTTATTTCAGAAATTCCACTGTAATTCTGAGCATGTGAGTGAAATTTTGTTAAGTTTTCATTAAATTTCATATTACTTCAATATATATGTTTACAAAAAGAAAGTGTTACAAAATTTTCCTTCACAGCAGGGTATTCACAATTCGATCAAATCGGAATTCCAACTATAACGCGTTTCCCCCACTCCTGAGTTCTCCTCACTCCTTTTTCAATAAGCAAATACCATACAAGACCAACAAAACAATTTATTTAAATGTACGCAGCCTATGATCCATTGGTTTTTATGGTAAATAGTACCATAGATTTCTACATTTTTACATCAGCCACCAAATTTTTCATATCTTGAATTGGTGCTTTTATTTTATGAATTAAAAACTTTTCTTTACCAATTCGTTTAAAAAAAGATGTGTAAATCAAATCTTTAATTACATATTAATCTATTTCTAAATATTATTTTACACTTTAACTTCGCTTTATTTTTGTTTTATTGCAATATAATACTAGAATATTGCAATAATGACTTTGATTTTCGTTTTGTTTTCAACCTCTACATAGGAGAAAGAAATTCTCGTGCAGTCATTTTCTCTTTTATTTTGTATTTACTTTGCGGGGTTCAGTTTATTTACTAAACCAATTGCTCATATAAAATGGCAGCCGTGACTTTGATTTCATTTGCACGCTTTGTATGAACTAATGGTTCAGTATAGTCGACTGAACCTTTAGTCATATGTAAAACGATTATCTCTCAATCACTTTTCTTCTCTTTTGTATTGGCTTTTTGCATAGAAGTGATTTCATTTGCATGCTTTTTAAGCAGCGCGGTGTAGTTTTTATTCTGAACCTTAGAATATTTTAAGAGTAAGATGTTTTCTCTTTATTAATTGGAAGAAATGTTGGGTGTAACTAACCCATGTGTGATTTTGTTTGTTATGTACGTTATTGTGTTTATTTTTTATTGGTTTGGAACACCTATTATAAAAAATTGTAATTAGCAATATTTTGGCATAGCGAGATTAATAGGCATATTAAAAATTGTTCAAAATAAAAGCTTTGTTAAGGTGTTTAGTGAACATTCTGAACCATTCGACGCCTCCCCTCTGGTATTTATGTATTATATTTTATTCATGTAACCTACAAACACACACCTTACAGTACCTATGAAAACTGTAACAATTGTAACTGAAATGTAAATATATAAAATAAAATTATAAGCAATATTTAAACGGAATTAAACTTAAAAGAAATAAATGAAAAAAATAAAACACACATCATATTTTCTTTATAAATTTATAGAGATACGTTTTGAAATTTTACACTCATAAGTAATTTAATTAAATAAAAAAATTTGCACCATGGACATTAGAAATTAGTCGCAAACATATTTTATGAAAAAGCAACGAAAACAAAATAGCGAAACGGTAGCACAGGAATTGTCAAAATATTCACCGCAAAAGAAATCTAAGAGAAGATCAGAGAAAACGAAGTACACCTGCTAGGTACCGCACACAAACAGAAAATCAACAGGATGGCAAACTAAGCAAGAATTGCGTAAGATCAGCTGTAAACAAAAGTTACTCGCTATGAAAACCTCGTTCGATTGGGTATTTGAAGGTACGTCCACACCTAAGCGAACGCTTGCGAACGAATGTTCGCACAAATGCGTGCGAATTATTTTAGGTATGGTCGGGTAAAAAACTTTATAGCAAACAAACACAAATTTGTAGGTGGTCTGCACGATGAAACAAGTGCGAGCGAACGCATTTGTAGAGTTTGCTAGTGTTCCGCTGCATTTGCGTTTGTTGTGAAATTTATACCAATTCGTTCGTTTGTTCTATTGCATTTACTGTGAAATGTGGACGAATATTTTGTATGAAAAGAAATATTTGTTTGCGTTCGTGAATGTTCGCTTAGCGATGGAACAATGAACGAATGTGTTAACATATTCTATATTATTAGTGTCTTAGTCTCTAGTGTCTTTTTTAAAATATTTTTATATATTCACAAATTATTATGGAATGGAAAGATGACCGCGTTTTTAAATTAATTGAAGCATGTAAGGTACTGTTGAAAGATTCTATTCTTCGCTCATTTGGGCCCATTTTGAGGAACTCCATTACAGCTTTTGTGAATTAGAATCCAATCCAGCAACTATTGGATATGATGAAGAAGGGTTTATATCTTTAGAAAGAGAAGTCCAAAATAAGAGCTGAAACTTGCTTTAACGTCTTCGCATACCTCATCATTAACATATGCATCAATGCAGTTACCACGAGTAATAATACCAAGGTTCAGTGGGAACTATTTGGAATGGAGGCAATTTCGCGACTTATTCAATGAAGTGGTAAATAAACAATCACTTGCGAATTGCCAAAAAATGTTTTATCTAAAATCGAATTTGGACGGAGAAATGTTAAAATGTTTAGCATGCAAGGGAGATCATAAAACCTCCACTTGTAAAAATTACTTGAAAAATCTTCCAGAAATCTGCAGAAATATGATTCGCAGTGTCAAACGTTGCGTAAATTGCTTGCGCTCGTACCATTTTTCAACAAAATGCACATCTCAGGGTTGTCTGAAATGCAAAAGAAGGCATCATATAACTTTATATGAACTTTATGCTGCCAATGGCAAGTCTCAGGTCACTGCTGATTCATCGCGAAATAACGATTCACACCAATCAGGTGGCCATGCAGCAGCTACGCTTATAACAAGTAGATCCGCAGAGTTGAAGAAATCTTATGGTTTACTAGGAACTGTAATAATGACGGTTCTCAGGGCGTGGAATGCAAGATGCGTGCATTACTGGATTCAGGCTCACAAGTAAACCTTATAACAGAACGAGCAGCACGAAAACTTAGGCTAACTCAATTATCAAGCCCGCTTTATCTTAGTGGCGTCGGTCAGAAACACAAGTGCTCAAAAAAAAGAGTCTACGTACTTATATCATCTAGTGTAACCAACTACAAAACTGAAATAGAAGCTCATATGTTGCTAACAGTTGTTGCAAATCAGCCTGCAATTGAACTGGATACATCAAATTGGGCTATACCAGAAGGAGTTGTGTTGACTGATGCCCAATTCAACAAACCAGGTCCAGTAGACATTCTTATTGGCGTTGAATTATACAACGACATAGTTCTGCCAAGGAGAATTTCGTTAGGAAATAATTATCCAATGTTACAAAAAACTGTGTTTGGCTGGATGGTCAGTGATTGTATTTCTGGGGTTTCTTCTTTTGCATCGATCTGCGGTGTTCTTACAAATAATGTAGAACTAGACCTGCACAAATTTTTGGAACTAGATGAGATACAGCAAGGTTCGTCGGATCAAACACTTGAAGAACAGCAGTGTGAGGAACACTTTAATCGATCTTTGGCAATATCAACTGATGGCAGAATCGTTGTGAAATTACCATTCAAAGGAGAAGTCACTTCTTTAGGCTACTCGCAAAGATCAGCACAGCAATGTTTTTTCGCTGTAGAAAGACGTCTCAACGGATACCCTGAATTCAAAACAAAATACAATAAATTTATGGAAGAGTACTTCAACCTGGTACATATGAGTGAGATCAACCCAGATGATATAATCCATCCATGTTATTTTTTGCCTCAACGTGGAGTCCTTCGACCAGAGAGCTCCACGACTAAACTTTGAGTAGTATTCGACGCCTCTGCACCAACTTCCACAGCATATCTATGAACGATGTGTTAGCTACTGGTCCAACTATCCAGGATGATTTATTCGCTATACTGAATAAATCGATTATCTAAATTCGTTTTCACGGCCGATATTGAGAAAATGTATCGTCAAATTATGATGGACCAAGATGACCGTCGATTCCAACTAATTTTATGGAGAAACAACGACAATGAGCCTCTTCGAACTTATCAACTTAATACCGTGACTTATAGGACATCGTCAGCACCGTATCTTGCCACAAAATGCTTGCAACGGTTGGCTCAAATTGAAGAAAATAGGCACCCGACAGCTGCAGCTATCGTCAAAAGAGATTTATACGTAGATGACGTCATGACAGGGTTCAACAGTTTGTCTGAATCATTACATGCACGAATCGAACTTATAAAATAATTGCACAAGGGTGGCTTTAAGCTTCGCAAATGATGCGGCAATCATCTAAAACTAATTAAAGGGTTGCACCCATCCGACATAACTGTACATTAAGACATTGGGCCAAGTGTGGATCCCAACAACAGATGAGTTTAAGATACAAATTAACAAAAACGAACATGTCAAATACACTATAAGAAGTACATCATCCGACATTTTTCGGATTTTTGATCCGCTTGGGCGCGTTAGTCCAGTCACAGTAGAAGCTGAATTATTTTTGCAACACTTGTGGACGTTGAAACTTGATTGGGATGAAGAATTGAAGAAACGAGCTAACCTGTCAATGGGTGCGATACATGGAAAGCTTAAGCTGTCACAACAACATAAAACAGCCACATCGTCTTTAAGGAAACAAGATTTCAAAATCAATGTAAATATATGCTGTTGCCGATGCTTCAGAACGAGCTTACGGCGGAGTAATTTATTTACGTTCCATTACGCAGGACGATCAGGTCATTGTACGCCTCCTTTGCGCTAAATCAAGATTGGCTTCAGTTAAGAAATTAACAGCCCCAAAGTTAGAGCTATGCGCTGCTTTACTAACAGCAAAATGCAGTAATTAACGATATATGTTACATTAATCAGGTGGCCATGCAGCAGCTACGCTTACAACAATTATTAGTTATGTAAAAAATTGCATGCAGTTGGCGAATACCACAACATATTTATGGACAAACTCGGATATTGTGCTAGCACGGATCAATTCATCGGCTGCCTCTTACTACGCTTTTGTGGCAAATAAGGTTACGAAAATTCATGAAATTTCCGACAAGGGCCAGCGGCGATATGTTAGAGCCAATGATAATCCTACCGAGATACTATCACGTGGCACTGAAGCATCTAAATTAAGTTGCTGCTACTTATGGTTTTACGGTCCTATGTTCCTGCATGGTCACCAGTAGCTCTGGCCTGCTCCATTCAAAGCCAGATCGGAATGCAAAGTAGAACTTAAGAGATCGATTCACGCAGTAACACTAGGTTCCAACAAACCACATTTTTTACACAGTATCGATCATAAGAATTCCTTTGCTAAATTGGAAAGAACAACTGCTTATGTTATTGGTTGCACGCAAATTCTTCGGAACGCACCATTGGAACAAAACGAATGTTGTAAGATGTCAATTCTACACTGCTTAAGTGCCAGTGTAAAATTGACACGAGCTCCTCAAGTCACCATTAGCATGATGCAAAGCGAGGGATTGCCAGAAGAGACAAAATTATTCGCAAGGGCTTAGAAGCCAGCAAAACTAGTTCAATTAGGGGTTTGTCTCCATTCATTGATCAACAAGGTCTTCTAATAGTTGGCGGACGGCTTTAATCTTCCTCACTTTCATTTGATGCGAAGCACCCAGTCTTGCTACCAGATTGTTCATTAAAAAGCCTCTTAGTGCAAGGAACTCATGTCCGCAATAAACAAATTGGACCACGAGGACTAATGGCAATTATGTGTCAGCATTACCGGCCGCTCAAAGGAAAGATGACAGCAGGAACTATTATTCATAAATGCATTATCTGTATTAAGGCAAAACCGACACTGCTAAATCAAATCATGGGAAATTTGCCAACTGATCGCGTTGAACCAGTACGAACATACATAAACTCAGGAGCTGACTTTTGGGGTCCAATATGGACTCCAACGTCCAACAAAAAGCTTTGACGCCGTATTTTGTTGCTTTGCAACAAAGGCCATACATATGGAGGTAGTCACAGATCTTTCAACTGACGCATTCAGAATGGCATTAAAACGTTTTATTGGAAGAAGAGGGATATGCCGGAAAATATACTGTGACAATGCCACTAATTTCGTTGGAACCAATAAGAAAAAATACAAGGTATTTGCTGTTCGTACAATATCGATATTAAGTTCATCCCACCACGAGCCCCACACTTCGGTGGATTGTGGGAAGCTGCCGTCAGACGTCAGTTAAACATACGAGGAGTTAGAAACACTCATAATAGAAATCGAAGTGATCTTGAATTCAGGACCATTAACTCTGACGTCACTAGATGCTAACGACCTAACCGCGATAACTGCTAGACATATCTTAATCGGTGATCCTCTCACTGCAACAATTGATGTCGACTCAAAGCCTCCACGCCTAAGTTTAAAAAAAAGATATGAACGCATTATCAATATTAAAGAAGACTTCTGGCATAGATGGTGGTCAGGGTACTTAACTGATTTACAGTATCGATCCAAATGGCAGATAGTAGAAACCTTCAGACGCCCAGATGAAAAAATTCCTGTAACTAATGTGCGTACCAAACACGGTATAATAAAACGAGAAATTCATCGATTAGCACTACTGCCGATCGATACAAGTGAACCAATCGAGCAAAATACATCCAAAGAACCCATATGTATAAATTATGCAGCAATTTAGGTGCCTATGCCGACTACCCCAGATAGTACCCCCAAAAAGCGGCGACAATTTAGCATAGGAAACGTCCTGCTAACAACTTTAATAGCTTGTAATTTAATAATTTGTAACTGCATCCACATTAGGGTGTCCCAAAAAAATCAAAGTATTTTTTTTTCAACGCATACCCTGTAATTATGTTTGAATGGTGTCAAAACAATTGTCAATAATCTACTAACACGCAACAAAAAAGAATAAATAAAGAACAAAAAGTGTTGAAAGAACTAAAAAGTAAACCAGTATAATATACAAGAGCTGACAAAGGAAACGCATTACTCATAATGGACAAAGATGAATACGATCAGAGAATCCAAGAAAAAATTGATAACGGCCCCTAGAGAGAATTCAGAATCAACCCTCTACCAGAAATGGTCAACAGAACCAACAAACTCGTCGAAAAATGCTCAAAATTTTTAGATTTCGATAAGAAACAAATGAAGGAACCCGCACCCTCACTTCCACAGTTCAAAGCCTGACCAAAGATTCACAAATTTGGAAGAAAAATGAGAGAGATTGTAACAGATCCTCATGCCAACGCATCGCCAAATGGTTGGTAAAGGAACTAACCTGCATCCTAGGCAGCTCTCACAGTTTTTCTGTAAAGAACTCCAAAGAATTCGCAGAAAAACTAAAATTGGAAAACATCACAGGAGATGAAGAAACTGTATCATTCGACGTAAAAGCATTATACCCAAGTGTTGACGTGAAAGAAGCTATAAGAATCCTTGAGGAAGAGCTCCTCAAAAAGAAAGTCAACAAAATTAAAATAATGAATTACATCCAGCTAACACAACTCTGCATGGAAGAAAATTACTTCACCTTCAGAGGCAGATTCTTTAAACAAACAAAAGGCGCCCCTATGGATAACCCCTTATCATCCCTCTAAAGCGAATTATTCATGAGCAGAATAGAGTCCAGTTTAAAAGAAAAAAATTATCTGCCAGGAGAATGGATCAGCTACAAGAAACTTTAGAAAATCTCAACAGTGAACACAGGAACATTGTATTCACACACGAACGAGAAAACAAAGGCTGCCTACCATTCTTAGACATACTTACACAACACAAAAACGGCATTTTCGAATTTAGCATCTACAGGAAACCAACGAGAACAAAACGTGTCATAATCAATAATTCAAACCATTCATTCCAACACAAAATGGCTGCTTTTCATCACATGATACATAGAATGCTCACACTACCCCTTACACAAGCAGTCATCAATGAAAAAATCACATACATTAAATAAATAGAGGACATCAACGGATACCCTCAGAACACCATCGATAGAATCAGAAAAAAGAAACGAAGGCAGCTACATTCCAGGAACATGACAGCATTGACAGCAGAAAGACCAAAACAAAGAAGAGTCGCTGTAGTATACAATAACACCGTCTCCAATAACATCGAATGCCTTTTACCATCCGCAAAAGACCCAATTGACCCATTCGAAAAATGCGGAGTATACAAAATGGAGTGTGGCTCCTGCAACAAAATATACATCGGACAAACAAAAAGACCCTTATCAGTAAGGCTTGAAAACCACCTGAAGGAAGCAAGAGAAGCATCGAAGAAAATAAACCCCCACATAAAATCAAATGTCGCCAGACATACAGTAAAGGAAAATCACCACATCATAGCTGGAAATTAGAAACGGCAGAGAGCATCGAAATACATAAACATCAGGCCACAACTTTACTCAACGGCGACAAGGGCAACGTGTCATTGTGCCTTTTTAGATACATCCCAAAAAACCGACAACCAGTCGACCTAACTACCTGTATGTAAAAATAAAAACAACTCCAGACCAACCACGCCACCATTTCTTACCTGTCACCCCCAAGGACAATAACCTTAGGTTTTAATAATATTAAGTTTAGTATTAAAAATAACATGTTAATAGTATAAATAGTTTGAAAGATTGATAGATGTTTTAATATTAGGAATTCTCCTGATGAAGGCAAAAGCGAATTTGCCGAAACACGTGTGGAGATACACAAAAAAACTTTCGAAATAAAAGTTAATATATTTTAAAAACAAAAATAACCGCATTTAATTGTAAATAAATTTTCATGTGATTAGAAATAAAGGAACCCGAGCCAACTTG